TGGTTTCCTGTTTACGGATGCACCGTTTTGGGCTGAGTTGTTAGAGCCCTCGCTGTTCCAATAGGCAGTCTCCGAAAGGCAGGTGTTCCGCTTCTGCAGACCAAACTAAACTCAAAGTCATTCATCCGCTCGCAAACAAAGCCCGATTGGTAAGGAGGTGCAGGCATAGGAGTAAGAGTTATAGTACTTATAGTAGTCCTAGTAGTGGTCGTCGTCGTCACCACGAGGTGAACACACTGCTCGGTTATCGCTTGTGGTGGGGGTGCCGCCTGTTGTCACTTCTTCGGACCGTTCGCTTTGTCAAGCTGGCCCCAGATAGCCTTTGCAAAAGCTGGGGCACGCGTCCGTAATGTTGCAGCAATCCCGACTAGTTTGACCCGAGGCTTCAAATATCGTGGGCACAAAGAGCCCACAGAGAGCGTCCAGAACGGGTGCGCCGTGGCATGTTCGCATGCCAGAATGTGAGCATGCCGTTGCTGGTAGGGAGCGGAACTTGGTGAGTTTAGGGTTTAGGGTTTAGGGGAGCTTCCCTGAATATGCAACGATAATTTCGTTTCTAATTACTACATTTGTCTGGCAGATCTTCCGAGGCGAAAGTGTCAAACCCAGCCTGCCAAGCTTCTTCCAAGACGGTGTACATGTGAAGCTAGCAGCGTAAAGCCTCGCAGCATGCCTTTTTTCGCATTCCCGCGGTGCATATTAGCAGCGGCCACCTTCAAATCAACAGTGAGCGTTCTGGGTCAAAAGCTTTTCGATCGGACATCACTCCGGGGCCAAGTTGAAGCACTCTCGGGTCTGACATGGGACGCTGGTAGAACCAACCACAATCGAAGTGCAACAGCTACAGGGCTCCCTGCACAGGGCTCTCTAGCACCGAACCAGACGGATGCTTTCGTCTACAACGGGTGGTCACGAGGACCCCTAGGAAGCCCCCCGGATGCATTTTGTTTGGTTCTGTCTTCTAGAGCAGCAAAAAGTCTACACCGGAGCTCTCTACCGAAGTCATCGGGCAGATGCCAGGAGCGTGATGCGAGTTTACAGCGCTGACGGAGAGGTCGCTGTTTTTTCGTTTAAGATCTTCCGCTCGGATCTCTTGGAGTCAGTGGGCAGGTTTGTTGAGTTTAGGGTTTTAAGTTTTGGTGCTGTGTCCATGGTACGACCTCATGTTGTCATTTATGGTTGGTGTTCCTGTTATCAGTGCCACTAGGTTTGCTCTTTGCCAGATGGTGAGTTAAGCCAAAGTGAACAGCTCGCAGAGTCAAGTTCAGGATTGTAAAGTGAGCCGTCGGTGTTTTATCTTATGAATCTTGTGTTGACTGAGTACTCTCTTGCTTCAAATTGCAAGATGCGAGCTGACGAAATAGACCAAAGCCGGAAAATGTCCAGTAGTTTTGAATCAGCTCAGCTAGTCGTGATTGACGCCTCTGATGAGGACCGGACGGCAAGTGGATATTAGGTTCCAAAGAAGCACCATGCACACATCTCCCGTCGATTGTACACCTGATGATGCCTGAACTGAACAGTCTGTACATGCAACGAGCTCTGTAGGCTATCAGCATGTGTAGCTCGAAGGGTGGCTGGAAAGTGTCAAAAGGTGTCAGGTTTAATGATTTAACTCTATATCCTACACCCAGCGGTTGGGCTGTCCCTTTCGTGGCACTGCTGATGCACATACCGTTGATGATATAAATCCTGCATTACCTTAAGGACCCTAAACTATGGCAAGTATGGTCTATTCATTATTAAGGGTAGTGCAGGATTTATATAATCAACCGTAGAGCTTATAGAACCCATACACTTCAAAAATGAGCCACGCGCAGTTTCAGCTTCAGGCTTCTTGGTGTGTATACGGTTTAGGGTTTAGGGCGCGAGCCAGTGAAGTTTGTTTGACTTCTTCCCTGGTTTGCACTTCTGCATGGCTTTGGTGTGTTGGTGTGTGCGTGTGTGTCTGTGTTCATCCTGGAAGAGACGAAGCGAGGCCCTTAATGCGTTGATGCCTCACTTGCCATTCTGAAGCTCTTATCCCGAACTGCCAGAGTGAGCCACCAAGTTGCGCTTCGCTCCGAAGGTGCAGCAAGCACGGTGCTTCTGCGTCGTCGTGCGCGAAAGGAACTGCTCGGGATGCATGCAGCTAAATCAGTTAGATCAGTATCGAAGAGTTGCCGAAGGCTGGGGGTAGGTAGGCTGGTCGTTAATCCCAGAAGTAATTAGGCTTGCAGGTGGTCCCCCCATCAAAGTCCAACTGCATGGATGGCGGGCGTCACAGCTCTTGGGATCTGTCATTGAATGATTGATTGAGCGCTATTTGCTGGGACATGCATCTCGATATTTCTTGTTCGTAGCCGAAGGATGAGCGACGAGGAATGCTGCATTACACCACGACGGCTGTACACTCTCCGGATATTCAGACCTCGGGAGCAATTTCGCTACAAAGCTGGCAAATCAAAAGAAGTGGCGCTTGCTCTAATTTACCAAATGTCGCGACTCGGTGAGTGAACAATGCATGTATTCCTTCAAGTCCCGGGGCTGAACTGCATAAACCTCGAACGCCCACTCATAGTGTTGAGCCAGGAACTACTACATGGTCTGCGACGACGAGACTCAAAAGCGTGCCTGGATGTTGGAGATCGAGAAAGTCCTTTGTCACAGGCCGAGAGCATCTGAACGGATGGTGCAGGTCATACAGCAATGGAGATCGTGACTTGTAACAGTATGCCTGTATAGTCTCTGTAGCTTTGCATGCTTGAAGGATCATGAACTATAGTTCCACTACTTCTAACACCTACGTACTTAGTAAGTCCTTAGACCTAGTCCTGGGCCCCTCATTAAGCCCAAATCCTCAACCCTAAACCCTAGGTTGCCTCAAGTATGAAAAGGTTTAGTTCAGGCTGCCAGATGAGCTCATCAAAAAGTCAGACCATAAGAACGCCTTAGCCCTAAACCCTGCGCAGGTAAGTGCACGAGCGCCGCCTCCTTGGTGACGGGTTCCCCGGATCGAAAGCTCCCGATGCCTTAAGCCTTAAGCAGCCAGTAGGGTCTCGTTTAAAATGGTTGGTACTAATTAGTACAAGATACTTGTTTTATAACAGACAACATACGTCGGAGATACTAGAGTTGGTCGGAGTAGAGTAGACTAGAGTATGGTAAGGTATGGTGAACCATAGTATCAACAGAAAGATTATCATTATAGGTCTGGTCTTAGCTCTTGCTCCCCCGTCCCCCACAACCAAAAAAGGCATGCATGGAGTCTTGGCAGCTGGTGCTTTCGACTGCGAGTGCGATGTTGCAAGGGCAACTCGCCTAGCCATGCCACCCCGGAGCCCGTGGCCTGTTGACTATTGTAAAGCCTACCCAAAGCACAAACAAGACCATGACCGATCTTGCACAATAGAACAGAATATCTTCAAGTTCTAGACATCGTCATCTTGTCGCACTGATGTTTGCCCTTTCTTTCATGCCCCCTCCCCGCTGTGCTTCAGCAAGTTGCATGGTTCTGATGATGTCTATGATTATGAATTATGCTGCTTACTTTGAGCGTTGCAACAGCTGGCTCGCTTTGGTTCTTGTTATATCGACTTTCGGAAGGACCGAATGTTGTCATTTCGCCCTGGACTCTTTGCGACACCAGAAGGCCAAGCTCCTGTTTTATTTTGCGTCTCACCTCTCTCTCGCAGAAGATGGCCGCGCGCCGCCTCCCATTGCCAGGACATCCCCAGCCTTTCTTATTTTTCTGATCCATGGACCATCCATTCGCTTATTCGTGGCAGTGCTGTGATTGTACAGTTATAGGCACATTGTTTCAGGAAGAGTAATTGCGAGTGCCACATGCATCTGTTGGACCTCCTATGTGCTTGTGTTGCTCTTCTACTGCGCGATCAAATAGCGCTAGTTCGCGGGCTCACCTCGGGAACCATGCGTGAATGCATACAGGCATTATGTCTCCATTGGCTCATCGTTCATGCAGGCTCGTCTTCCTGCTATCCGGCGTATCATCATCATCTGCAGTCTTGCAGTTTCCTTGATTATCAACCCCATCATCGGCCGCACCATCACGAGCAGCATCCTTAGCACTATTCTGTTCGTCCTCTTCGCCAGCATCAGCGTTGTCATGTTCATTCTCACCATTGTCGTGCTCAACGTCGTCTGGAGGGCCGTCATCGCCATCCTTCTCACCTCTCGTCATCGTCATCATGGCCATCATTATCATCGTCATAGCCGTCATCACCAACATAATACATCATCATGTTCGCTTGACGATCGTGATGAACGAGTGAGCGTGTTACTTTCTTGCGGGCAATCCGGCAATGGCACGACCTGCAGAGTGTCATCTCGACAGAAAGCTTTTTGCTTATCGTCTTGCTGTACAGGTCTTTGCAAAACATGGCAATTGTTGTTGCGGTCACGGGTTTGGGTTGACGGGCCACCCTCAAACCGTTCAGGGGCAACACATCAGGTTTCAATGATGAATGTCAGGCGTTGGAGCGGCAGTTGCGGCCTCACCCTCTTGCGAGTCCCGCCGCAGCACCGTATATCCATACAATGCCTGCCACGAAATCCGACACCGCCCCGAAGCAAAGCTGTTTGTGCAATCTCTGCGATATCCCGCCGCGAGACACCCGATAGATGCGATCGGCGTTCAAGTTTCGGTGTTCTTGTTCTGTGGGGAGCTTCGAAAGCCTATAATTAGCTTAGGACTGGCTTATGCCTGCGGGCTTCCTGGTGCGGGGACACGGGTGCAGCATCGGGCTCGGTGTAGGGTAAAGTTTCTAGGTTTTTGAAAAACATAGGACAGATGTGCTTGTGTCTGGTTGGTTTCGGGTACAGGATTCTGTCTTGGTTTCTTGCAACCAGTTGAGCTGCTCCATGTGTGTGTGTGTGATGATTGCCTGGGTTCCAAACAAGTCTCAGTTGTCTAGCAAAGTACTCACTCGCAATCCATCAATTTCCTCGCCGTGTTCTCTGCATCGTGCGCGACATCTGCACGTCCAGAAAGAGGACACATGGCACACCATGAAGCAGTGGTGCCAGCAAAGCTGTTTGTCAGCATCTTCATGTTGATATGGCTGGGCGAAGGTGCTCGAATAGTCGCGAATGCTGCAGATCATTCTGCCTGTGTTGCAGCTGATGCAGCCTTGGCTTTCGTGAAAGCTTCCCCAGTAGTGGTGGGGGCACAGCAGAAAGAAGAATGGCTGGCGATGTTCGCAGAAGACGGGCTCATCCAAGATCCTTTCGGAGCCATACACCAGCAAGGCCGTCAACAGCAGTCTGCTTTCTGGGATACTTTCATCTCTGGGATCAACATCTCCTTTGCTCCGCACTACGACATCGTGACCTGCAGTGCTGTCGTGCGCATTGTCAATATATCTGCCATCACTCCCAACGGCTGCCCCACTAACATGCGCACGTTCATTGTGTACGATTTGATTTCTCTGGCCAAGGCAGGCGATTCCTCAGGTGCTATGCTTCCTTCGGCTTCTTCACTGCAGTTAGCTGGCTTGACGGCACTCTGGTCGCTGCAGGAGCGGTCGGCCCAGCTATTCAAACACACCTGTGCCGTTAAGGCGACCGCTCAGATGAGCATGCGGATGCTCAAATTCCTTGGCTTTTCAGGAGCACGGCGGTACGTAAAAGGCTTCTTCGGCATCGGCAAGGAAGGACAGTCTGCAGCTGTGGCTGCCTTAGCTGATCTAGCTGGCGCATCTGGGGCGCAAGTGTTCTCAACGCGCTTCTGTGAAGAAGGGAAGTTGACTTTACACCACCGGGACTCTGACAAGACCTTTGTGGGTCCGGCTGCTATCACTGCTGGCTTGGAAGCTTGGGGATGCAAATTGCTGGCGCAACCCACCCTCACCGTGCCCACAGCTAGACGAGTTAGTGCCGAGGTCAGCTTTTCCTGTAACAGTTCTGTTGAAAATGTGCCAGGGTTGGCTGTCATCGATTTCGCAGCCGACGCGTTGTCACTTGTGGCTGTAGCCTTCTATGTAGGCATACCCGCGCCAGTTGGCCCAACAACGGAGCCAGCAATCATGTAGTCCGGATGGTTACTGTAGCGGCCACCTGCTGCTGAGGCCTGTCCATGTACCGAGGGCTGCAAGTGTACAGCATAGATTCAACCAGCTTGTTCTGGTCTCAAGTTGATTGGGAGGCTGCGCGCAGCCTCGGGAAAAGATGCCCGTGCAAACTTTGGATCAAGCCAGTGCTGCTCTTCGTGGTGCATCCTGGAAAAGCATCTTGGCGCACCCAAATCTCGGATCTTCCTGGGTCTTGGAATCTCCGAAGCCATCCCTGTAAAAAAGCCAAGAGTCCGCAAAGTCCTCTCGCATGTACATGGATAACTTGATGTGTACATACACTCTCTGTGTATGTATGTATGTATGTATGTATGTATGTATGTATGTATGTATGTATGTATGTAGGTATGTGTGTATGTGCCTGTCTGACAGAAGCACGGTTGCTGCATCTACACTCACGGCGGTAGTATTACTTGGCAAAAGCAAAGATAGCCCAAAGCCACATTCGACGCCATGGTGTTGGAGTGGCTCTGGGACGCTTTGCACCCACTGGCGTCGCCCGGACCGATCAGTTCCCTGGGGCCTGGTGAGGGTCTACCCATAGGCCCCATAGTGGTTCCTTTTTGGGATTACCTTATAGGATTCTAAATATGAACCCCAAAGAGGAACTGCCATGGGGCCTATGGGTAGAGATTAGGTTTGGTGGGTTCAGGCTTAAAGGTGTAGGGTGGTCGGGTCGTGGCGTCGGGTTTCCTTTGATTTTTAGTCTGTGAGGGACATTGTGAACGACCTACAGGAATGGGAGCTAGGATTAGGGGGACCCTTGGGGATATAGACCCTCTCAATAAGGTCCCGTTTAAAGAGAGCCAAAAGTAGGGTTCAGAAGGGTACCCTTTAAGGGGTACCCCTAATAATACTACCTAAGGAAGGCTTTGAGGCGGTGAGCAGTATGGCATGTCATGTCGTACCTAGTCTTGAGCCTTGGGTCCGAAGATCAGATGCTTGGCGGCACCTCCCGGCTTCTAGCCTATCGCCGTCTGGGGCTTTTGACTTGTTTGGCATCCCAATCCGGGGTAGGCCTACTATTTGGGAAAGCATAGAGAATCCACAACAACTGACATGATTTCATGAAGCAACAGCAGCAGCAACTTGCGTGACATGAGCAAGCTATGGCAGTTTTACTTGCCTTGCCAGTCATAACATGTCGATACTGCTGTCGGCCTTTGAATATGGCATTCATGCCTACTTGGTTGCAGTCGCTGAAATTTAGGGTACAGGTCAGAGCATCTGACGCCTTCCATGAATGCGAACATCGGTGTCAGGGTTACGCAATCGTCGTTGTAATCCTTTGGCATGATTCTTATGGCGTTTCATCTTCTACATCGGACCATGGCATCAGAAGCAGCACATAGCCCTCTGATCTCCAGGCACCATCCCACAGCGTTCTGGGATGATCAGGCCGTGATGCCTGGGGCTGTAGATAGATGCAGGGAGTCTCAGAACACCCTACGCGTTGATGCTGTTCATGTTTGCCCCCGGGTTCTGAGTTTGACATCGCGACTTGAGGCTGTTGTCAAAGTTATTGCAAGATTTAAAAAGTAAAACTCAAAGGCAAGAGCACTGGCACTAGCATGATACCCGTGGCGGCAAGCATTGCACACGCCCTGTCATGGTTTCAACTTCTGCAGCTGACTACCTCCAACAGCTCTGACCTCTTTCATGTGTTCCATCCTCTCCCACGTACTTGTTTGTTCCGCCCGCGTCCCATGCATTTGCACCATTTGGCTCTGACACATCTCATGTCAAGCTGCGATGTTTGGAGGTGAAGCGCCTTATGCACAACTTCAGAGTTGGTTCGGGCCTGTTCAGACGAGTGCGCACTGCGCTTAGTCTGGCCGAGCCATAGACGGGGTGATGGGGTTACGGACATTCTCGCGCAAGATCTCGATGGGGAAGACAGTAAACAGCAGCAAACTCACGAGACATGGCTGTGAGTGATGGCACTTCTGCTAAGTATAAAGAGGCATTTGTTTGTAGTGTTCTCAAAAAACATATAATACTATTTTTGACCAAGAACCTTGATCAGTTTCTACAAGATATTCTTATAACTTATAAACAAAAACTAGACAAACAAACGAACGAACGAACACAGACAAGTACAAACACACAAGCACGCGACAAAGCCTCCAGAGCCTATGTGGGTTTCCGTGCAGGCAAACAAACAAACGGCAGGAGTTTGGAGAGCGTTGAATACAAACCGGAACCGGTTGCCCTTTGCGTGTGTCCGCACAATAAAAGTTAGCCGTTTCGGAAGGTGTTGTGGGAAAGCCCGGGCTGTGTGGGGAGACTTAAAAGAGGGGCTCTTGAAGGAGCTTCCTACTTTGGAGGAAGAATGGATCCGTGTCCGGGCCAGTAGTTGTCGGAGCCCACGCAACCTTCCGCCTTGCAAGCCCTACACAGCCTGAGCCTCTGAGCCTTGAGCCCCGTACCTTAAACGTTGTGCCTTAACTGTTAAATTCAGAGTCTGATGAGAGGCCTTGCAGCGGTCAATGGACGACATCCGCATAGGCACACTTCCAGATTCTGGGTTACGGGTTCCAGCCGCCTCAGTTCCTGATCATGGGAGTTTAGAGGTGGGTTTAGATTGTGATTTTTTTGGGTGTGTTTGGCAGAGGTGTTGTTAACCGTGGCGCTTCACACTTGCCAAGCAACTGGAGCTCTCAACGGAAGCAAGATGATCGCAGTTGTAAGATTGAGGGTCACGATCAGACTGCGCTGATGTCGGAGGACCATCTCCTTTTCCGACAAGTCTGGATTTGGTGCTAAACCCCGAAACTCGAAGCTTCAGTTCCTCCCAGAGGCATCTACCATAGTCATCTTATGAAGTACATACAACAGCTGTCTGGTGCTTAGTAGGGAATGGGGGAATGGATCCCTTATAGTAGTCCCTTAAGGTCCCTTATAGTAGTCCCTATAGCCCATTCCCCCTTTCCCTACTAAGCACCAGACAGACAGTTAACCCTAAACCCTAAACCCTAAACCCTTTGTTTCTTCAGCGAGACTCCGAGCCGAGCCCGGACCTTTCAGGGACCTGAGCATTCACCAAAAGCAGTTGGACATCAGTTGGGTAGTTGTGAAAATTATGGTCCCTTTTTGGGTACCCTAAATAAGAGGTGCCGTATTATGATAAGGACCCAAAAAGGGACCATAATTTTGACAACCACCCAGTTACTTTCAGTTTGCATCATAGGGAAAGGAAGGCCAAGTTAGACATCTTCTCCACACTGAACCCTAAACTCCGGACCCGTTCTGAAGATCATATATAAGATTTCCTGTCAAATATATTTCATTTTGGGGGTTGTAGGGTTCAAGGTACAGGTGTACGTTCAGGGTCAATGCAGTAGAGATTGAGGTTTAGCTTTAGGGCGGCGACATAAAGTATAGTATAGCTTACGTAGATTTGAGTTTAGGGTCGCAAGGAGCACACCCCAAGCCCTTCATCACAATTCGTAGAGTTTCTTTTCAGACGTAGTCCTACAAGAGGGACACTAGCAATACGGAAGTTGCTGGCCAGGATTTGCCAGCAACGACAGAATATTCACTGCAATGGCCGCAACAATACAAAATACTGATCATCACACAAGCAGCGCGTGTTTTCTACTGCGCTGCACTACGCGCCCCAAGCCTTAGTCCATGAAAACGTAAACTTTCAACTCCTTGATCACCCCTCCATCAGCCCGAAGCCCTTCACCTAAAACCCTAA